CCCCCCCCCCCCCCCCGCACACTCTCCCTTGCACACTCCTCACGTTCGCTACCTTCGCAACCACTTGTGATATTTAGTGGCTGTGGTGAAGCTTTCCGGGCCTGGTAATTGGGACTCGATGGCTGCCTAGGCTGGCTTAAGTGCCGTCACGCGAGGCCCAATGCATCGTTCGGCGTGCGTCTTCCCGCACCGCCTTCGTGCCAGACTCGCCGGGCCTTCCACCACCAGGTTTTTATCTTTGGGGAAAGCGGCCACACCCTGGCCCGACACTTGGCACATTTATTGTACCTGGTAACAAGGCTTTGAATATATAAACCGTTAATAAACTGAACTATTAAAAACTTTGTTTATATTACCAGGTAAGGCCCACTGAATTAATGTAGCTAATTTTTAGAAGCCACCTGGTCCACAAATGATAGCACAACAAAGTGGCTCATCGTGTGGACATTTGTGGCAGGCAAATACTTTGAACGCATGTTTCTAAATGTGGAGGGATAAAAACTCGAAGACCTGGACAAAAATCGACGCCACCACGGGGGGAGAAATTGCAAACTCCAAATATACAGACGTCAGGTTGGAATCGAACCCACGTGCTCCTATATATACCAGACGAGGTAGTTAACATCTCACCACCATGGCGCCCCGATAAAAGAGCGTCTCAAGGCAGCCAGATACACAACAGCCCACACGAAAACCATTTAAATAAATGAATAAGAATTACGCGGCAAAGTAGCACGACAGAAGGGTGCACACGGTTGCAAACGCAATGATCTCTTGCTGCTGCTGTGACAGCCGGCCCGACAGCCGGCGGATTGGGCTAACGATCAACGATTGTGCAGTTCATAAAACGATCTCGTCGCGACGACGTAGCCGAGTTTTCTTGAGCCTGTATTGGCACGTTGCGATGGACGTGGCCGAGGAGCTGGCAAGGCCCTCCGCAGGGCCCGGTGGGAGAGGGAATGTGGAACGTCGGCGCGGTAACGCTGCCGCGTGTGACCCTCGCGAGATACGGAGCAATTAAAATAACTGAAAAGCGGAGCAAATGCGCCGCGGCTTGTTTGCCTGCATTCTTGCGGTGCCATAAAATGGCGTTTGAGAACCCGCGGTTGGAACCAGCGAGAGGTGCGTGCCGGCACGGTACGTGGCGAAGCCTGTTCCACAGTGGCGCTCGCTTCAGCGCACGGCACCGCCCCACCTGCGTTTATCGCCACAATGTTTTGCTCGTTTTATTGACCCCTAAAGGGATGGTCGATGATGAGGATGGGCTGAATTGACCCCTGACTGCTTTGAACTCTGCGACCTTACGCGTGCGAGTGGGCCATCGTCCGTACCACCAGATATGCGCGCGTGCACGCACAGCAACACGTCCGTGCGTCCGTGTGTCTGTGTGTAGAGGGAAGTGGTTGCACATTGGCTATAAAACTTCACAACAAAGCTGGCGACCTTAGCCAATTCCCAGCGACTGATCACGGGCCTGCCCGGGGTAATTTCTACCTTAAATGAGTACCTGTTGCAGTGTGCATCCATCAGCACTGGGGAGACAAAGGTGGCTGCCTGCATTTCGTCCTGACAAAACCACTCCCACGTTCGTCGTGCCTGCCTTAATTTGTACTCGCCAAGAGCAATTGTCCTGACGGTCTTTATTTGGAGGATCTTTTGTCGTATGTGTGTCTGTGTGTGTGGTCTGCACACACACAGACACTGCACAGCGGCCACAGAGCTGTCACGGTGGCCCCGAGTGGTACAGCTGCGTGTAATCGCAGTTGGTGTGGCCCTTTCCCGTTTCTCTTGCCATGCGACTGCGGGTTTTATATTTGGCACGGGCAGTTGCCTGGACGGCCCAAGAAGAACCGCGGCGTCGCCCGCAGGAGGGCCGCTCGCTCGTTACCCAGTCCTCAAGACTCCATCTGAGAGAGGGTCCTGCCTTGGGATGATTGGGTCGAGCACCAGGAGACCCAGCACAGCCCAGCAGCCAGGAACGGTGGCCTTTGTCTCGAGCAGTGGAGGCTGAGAAATAAATCGCTGCTTTAAAAAAAAAAACGGCCTTAGCGCTCCATACAGAAGGCCTGCCGGGAGAAATAAATACAAGGCTTGAACAAAAGTTTAAATGTATCTGCTTGTTTTACATTGAAAACTCGTAGCAGACATGCCCCACCCCCACCTCCTCCTTCAGGGGGTCAACAATTGAGCCGTAAATCTGGTAATCTGCAAACTTGGCGAGGAAACCCCCGGCGGTCATCACCGTGGCCTTGAATGGGCTGCAGGTTTGGGCGCTGCTTCCAAGTCCTGGGGCGAGAGAGAGGCGGGAACGGGGGGGCGGCACGCGTGGAAGCGGCCGAGCCGATGTGCCAGGGTGCAGAGCGGGAGGAGCGCGACTCGGGTTCTTTTTACGGCGCAAATTCTAGACGATCGGGATTTTATTTTAAAATCAAACGTCCAGAGCCGCGCAGAATGGTGGCGGGCGCGTGGCACGACCTTGGTGTTTAGGTGATGATGGAGGGGTGGGGGAAGTGGTGGGGCGGCGTGAAGTGGGGGTTTGGGCCCTGCACGACGTGGGAGTGGAAGGCCAATCCCGAGTGGCGGCAGCAGTGGTGCCGTTTTCACCCCTGGTGAAAACCCGCAGGTGCCGTTTAGCAAGCGACGTTCGCCTCGGCCTCGCCCCATCCCGGCGGCGCTCTCGCCGTCCTCCATGTCGCGTCGCCACGTGCGCCGAACCGCGCGCTCGGCGCACTTGCCACGTCGCGCTCGCCTCTGGGGCGCCCAGAGACCTTGAGCGTCTCTCGCCACAACCGCCGAGCCTGGCTCCGTGTGGCCTTCTCTCTGTGGAGCTGTCGTGTCATTTTTTTTTCTCTTTCTATTCATGGAAAATAGCTCTGCTCGTGGTCTTGCTCGAGCGCCCGTGGGCCGACTGCCAGCGGCGCTACGGCAACGAGCCACAGCCGCTCCCACCACGAGGGCCGGGGAGGGCTGCCCTCATTTTTTGTCAAAATCAGCACAGCTTTGTCTCTCCCACGAGCAGAATATTTCATTAAAAGAATGGACCAAACTTCCCAATGCAGGACTTTCCTGTAACAAGGCTCTGCTGGTTATAGATATACGACTCTCATTACTGAAACCTCGACCGCGGTTGACTTTTGCAACAACGCGTCCATGAGCTGCGTTTGCCGCTCGCGCGTTCTTAGCGCTCGCGCGCGACGTGGAAATGCGGGCCCTCGTGCCGGGGTCCGACTCGGCTCTGCCAAAAGTGGCGCACTTGTCCGGTGTGTCCTCTAAAATACCAGGCTCATGCAGGAGGTTCCCCTGCCTATTCATTGTCCCATTAACACCCCGCTATGGCCACGAAGATCGAAGCTTGCTCGTTTACGGCTTGTAACGGTGTTTTTAAAAAGCAATTCAAAGCAACTGTTAAAAGCCACCACTCAAACCGCTACTAAACCACCACTGATCCCACCACTAAAACAACCACTAAAACCAACACGAATACCGCCACTCAAACCGCCACTAAACTCACCACCAGAACTTCCACTAAACCCACCACTCAAACCACCGCTAAAACCACCGCTAAAACCACCGCTAAAACCACCAAGACCCACACGCCAATTTTGGAATGCACAACCCACTCCTGCAGTAGCTGCTGTACAGGCCGGCACTAATCTGGGACTGTGCAGCGCGTCTCGTTTCTGCGCAGCGTCGAGGAGAGGCGGCGAGGCAGCGTGGCTTCGCGTGCTGTTAAAGAGGGGGGGGGGGGGTGGAAGTGCAATTACTCAATTGATTCTAATTTAAAATATACACACACACACTTGCATTCCCACCCGCTCGCGTTGCTTGAGGCGGATGGGCGGGACAACGACGAGCACCGTGGCAGGCGCGTCGTCGCTCCCATTTCTCCCGCCCCCCCCCCCCCCCCCGTTACATTTGACGAGCGGGGGGCGAAGTTCTTGAAGTTCTCGTTTCACAAAATGGCCCCCGACTATCTCGCCTGTTAGCGGAGCATGGCGGCGGTTGCGGTGCAGCACGCACGCCCCCTGGCCATGTCTGCGCTTGAACCTGTGTTGCGGATTAGGAGCTCTGGGTCCCGTGACGGACGGCGGTCAAATCCCGGTCAGGTTTGCTTTGTGCAACAAAAAAGCAAAAAACAGTGCTCGTACCGTGGTGAAACTTGTCCGCTTCATGAGAATATGGAATTTACCCCCCCCCCCCCCCACACTCGCCCACTGGCTCAGGGCCACCAATAGAGGTGACCGCCGCCCAGGGAGACGCATGAGCTTTGTGGAGCGAACCCTTTGGCGGTAGAGAAATCCCTCCACGGCCGTCACGGGACGTCGCCTTAAGTCGATTTTTTTCTGTCGCAGACGTCCTCCGCCTCTGTTGGCCTCATCGCATCACCATGGCTCTTGCCATGGTGTGACCCGCAGCAAAGCGGCGTTGGCCGCGAGCCTTGCCGACTCCGCAGACCCTGCCGGTAGCTCCGAGTGCCGAGTGTCTCTGGGGCGCCGGGCTCCAGAGACGCTCGGCCATCCCTTGGCCACGGTGTGCATGCAGTGCGTGCTGTGTTACGTGTGGTGCATGCGTGCTGTGCTACGTGCAGTGTATGTGGTGCGTTACTCTACCTCGCCTCTGACGTGCAGGATCGTGCAAACAAAGGAGACAGATGGGTACATTTCAATATCGACATACTGGTTCCAAAGAGCAAAGTTTCGAGTTTATTTTTTGCAAACACAGCTGTACAAGCTACTTAACCACACCTGGGCGGTGTTGGTGATTTTTACACCTTTGTTGGAAACGCCTACGGTGCTTTATTTTTATCCCACGCACTGGGAGCAGCTTACTGGGATTTTTCCATTCACCACTGCCTCGGATTTTAAATTGCCTGAAATTTTTAATGAACGTAACTCTATAAAATCTGCGGCCCGTGGGAGTTGCTAAGCGAGTCCTCCCTTGCGTCTCCCCTTCTCACCGCTCCCCGTGTCTCCCCACTCTCGCCTTGTCTCCCCACGCAGACGCTGAAGAACTCCCAGAGCTTGTGCTCGCTCGATGACGAGATGGAGGCCGCGAGCCCAGCGCTGGAGACCATTGTCTCCCCCAGCGAGGGTGAGGGCCACCTCGCCGCCGCGTACGCGCGGGCGGCGCGCAGCAGCAGCAGCAGCAGCACCGGCAGCGACGAGGATGACGACGAGGAGGCGGAGGACGTCAGGAAAGAGAAGAGCGACGGCGGAGGAGGTGTCTTCCACCTGGACTGCGATGAGCTGGACGTGGATGAAATCGAGAAGAACTGAGGGTTGAGAAGGGCGGGGGGGGGGAAGAGGAAACATGGACCGAGAGCTGGAGGGGCACGTGGGAGGGCAGCCGCGGAACTCACCGAGATGCTGGTGACGAGCTCCGGCGGTGTCCGGCCCGGTCCCTGCCAGGTCGCGGTGTGGCGGTGGCTGCCCCCCCCCCCCCCCCGCCCGCCCACCCGAGGCTTTTGATGCGTCCGTCTTCAAATATCGTGCGCAGTTTCATTCGAGTGGCTTTTGATGAACGCATCTTCCGCTGACACTGTTTGATGCATCACGACGGCCAGCGCCTCCCTCCGAGCCGCCCACGTGCGTTCGCCGATCGCCATGCGCGGTGACGAGCGAGCGGCGTTCCTCACTGCCCTCGTGCGCCCGGCCGGATGGCGTGGCTCGTTTTGAACCCTCTGGTGTGCGGATCGAACGGATGAACCCGCTCGTGTTAAACTCCGTGGCCCCGCCGGCCGTTGGAACTGACGTCATCTGCGGCAGCGCGACGGCACACGAGGTGGGGGGGGGGGAGAGGGGGGAGAGGGGGGAGGAGTCTTTCTCAGGGGCGTGAATTGAAAGGGGCTTTAATGTTTTTTTTCTCTCCCAAATTTTCTTCTGGACCTGCAATCCCTCGCGTTCTATAATGCGGCCTGCGTCCATGACGTCCGCTGTATTTCAGCAACTACACTTGGAGGCGTAAACAAAAAAAACATTTGCAGAGGCTGAAAGGTTTTCCTTTTTTTTTTTGTCCAAGAAAATGTCACCTCATCATGTTTAAGTTTTAAGCTTCTAGACGTAAAAAAAATGCCCAGGCAACACGCGTAAACGCACGCACGCACGCGTGTACGTGTGTGTGGTTTGCAGTAAGCGCATGGGGTTTGGGCAACTTGCGACGAAGCAGGTGGAAAGCAATAAGCGCCTCTGAATTTGCACTAAACACCCTTACCAAGCATCGGGCGTGGCGAGTCTGTTCCACAACACAAGCGTGACACAAAACGCGGGGGAGGGAGGGAGGGAGATGCCTTTTGGCCACACACGGGATTCCAGAACAAGGAACAGACAATGTGCTCTTCCCAGACTGTTTCCAGCAAAATCCCACACACCACCAGCATTGGGTGACCAGCCTCGCCACTTCCCTCTTCGGGGAGGTCAGGAGATAGGAGATGATGGGGGAGATGATTGGGGTGGTAAGTGCTTGGTCGGCTTGTGAGATGATAGCACTGGTAGGTGGGAGATGATTTTGTGGGATTGTTGTGGGGTTCAGAGATGATGAGAGGTGGTGCTGTAGAAGTAGGAGATCCAGAGCTCCAATTAACAGATGAACAACGGATGGTCTCGCGCCAAGGCTGTGATGTTTCGATTTTTATTCAGGGACATGCACAGCTAATCCTGGCCCCACCATGGGTGTCATTGCCGCATTAAAGCTGCTGGCGCTGAACGAAAGGGGTTTATTCAGGGGCCTGTGGGGGCCCTAAGTGTCCCTGCATGCGGAAGGGTGGAGGGGTTCCTTTGTTGATGACTGCGGCCAGGGGTCCCTCCGAAAGACTCTCGGGTGAGAATGAAATTGGTGAGCGTTGAAGAGCAGGAAGGATCCAGTGAAGCACTTGTCAGAATTTGTACGTTTCATTTTTTCGTTCCGGCACCGCTTTGCAGTCATGTGACCACCCAACAGGGAGTTCCCTCAGGAGTCCCAAGAGCCGGGCATGGCTAGAGCACCCCCCCCCCCCCACGGCTCCACCCCTCTGTGGGACGGCTCCAATCTGGGAGCTGCTGCTGCAGTCTTTGCTACTACTGCTGGCGATTGAGCGACTGCTGCTTCCCAAAAACCGCTGCCGGTGTTCAACCTTGTTACGAGAAACCGAGCACTTGAGAAGCACCGGACACCCCCCCCCCCCCCCATCTAGGCTACTTTGTAAGTGCTTCTCGGCAGCGGTCCAACTTTTCAAACGTCTCGTTTTTCTTGTCTCGCCGTTCAAAGTTCCCCTTGGTCGTTCTTTGCTGCGTCCCCGTATCCGTTTTGGCCATTTTTTAAGCTTGCGTTTTCAGAGCTGTGCTCCTCGTCTCTTGGTTGTGCGGGGGGAGCGGAGGCAAAACCTCGCTCTATTGCCTTTTCTGTCTTGGTCCAGTGAGCTGTTCCATAATCCGCACTCGGAGAGGTTGACAAAGTTTACGACGCTCGATTAATCCTCGCTTGGTTTTGTTTCTCCGTTCACTCCGTGCGTGGGAGCTTGACGACGGACGCAGCTCCAGTTAGGTGTTCTCATTCAGGACAATCTCTCGATGTCGCCCCCTTTGGAGTCGCATGGCTCATAGTGTGGTCTCTAACTCGATTGATCATAGTCCAGACGCTCTCAGGTTGTTTTTACTTGTGGATTTGTGCGATTTCTGTGTGTGTAATCTGTGTGCATCAGCACGTGTGTGTGTGTGTGTGCGCATGTCAGCGTGTTGACTCTGACTGTACTTGTCCCGTCTACACCCTTACGATTGAAGCTTTCGAGTGTTGCTTGAAAATTGTATATTCTGTACAGACATTTTTGTAGGAAGAATTAACTTGTGTGGTCTTTCAAAGTAATCACTGTTTACTGACCCCCCCTTCCCCCTTGTTACTGGAGTAGATTTTTCCTTTCTCCGTTGCACAGTTCTCAAAGGCCAGTATAACGCCCCCGTGGCTGGGCGTGATGAGAGTGGCGGGCGAGTATACGTAACCCGCGGTGCGCGCTGGCACCGCCACGTAGACTCCCATCTCTAACACAGATAATCTCCGCTGCCTGTTCGTGTTCTTAAGACAGGAGGTGAGCAGAATGCTGAATTTCAAAATATATAAATATATATTTTCTAAAGTGTCTTGTAAATAAGGGGTGGGACTGCGGGTGGAGGGGTGTGCGCACCGCTCGGCGGAGGAAGTTGTCGCCCTCATTCCTGTCTGGGCTCGGCTTCGAACTTCGGCACCGGGCCGCAGGAAACGGTCGCTGGAGAAGCGACACTTCGGCAAGTTGCCTCGAGCCGAAAGCGTCGCCGGGACGGTCGCTCTCCCATCGCCCCGACGACGACGACGACGATGCCCTTCTTGGTTCGTGTTGCCGAGACGCGTCGGGCGACAACGCGGAGAAGGGGGCGAACTCCTCGGGGCTAAGACCTCGCTTTGCGCAAATTGCCGAGCAAAGGCCGGCTTGGGAGCTGCGCCCGCGTTTGACGCCCGACGCACGAGTCTACCCCCCCCCCCGCGCTGCACGCGGACGGCAGCGTCTTGAAGGCAGAGCTGTTCACGCAACGTTGGACGACCATGTCGATTGAACAATTTTCTGTCGCTTCAGGGTAATGTGACACAAGCCAATTGTGAGACGGCGTGCGTATCTGCTGCTCGTGCAGCCCGGATGCCAAACGCAGCGATTGATTGGAATCTCCGAACAGCTCATTTCCAGGCCTTTTTGGACCCAATGCACAGCAGCGGGGGGGGGGGGGGGGGCAAATGCTGCTCGCTTCCAAATGTTGTGTTGCCGTGTTAACGTCGGCGAGACCCTCCGGGGAGACTCTGTTGGTCACGTGGGCTGTGGAGAGAAAGCAGTGTGGAGTTTGCAGTTGCAAAAATTGCATGACGTCAGTGGCGATATAATAACCATCGGCGTGGTGTCCCCTCATTGTTGCCCCATGCTGTTGGAGCGGCTGGGGAGGCACCAGATTTTAATTGAGAATGTTATCGCTAGATGTGTGACGATTCAAGGATTGATGAATTATCTCAGCTCTAAGTCGTAATTGGATCCAGTAATAAATGACGGGAGCCCCCCCCCCCGCTATACGTAATTAATGCGTTCCTGGGAAATGCGACTTGATTCGAAATTACTTAAAGCGAACTCTAATTTCCGACACACGTTAAAATGTTAAACTCGGGGCTTGCGTTCCTATCCCAGAATTCTGGAGGAAAACAAATGCGCGAGCTGATGTCGTGAAGTGAACAAACATGCACATGATTATTGTGAGTTAACATACGCGTTCACTCATAATAAATACAAATAAGTGGATGCAACTTGGGGTGAGCAGTGGTGGAGCTATGTCGATGCATAAGAGGCAGGAGCAACCTTGCCTTTTCATCTGACTAAGCTGGAGCCCCAGCAATGTTCACCAGAGCCACAGTAATGTTCACCAGAGCCACAGTAATGTTCACCAGAGCCACAGTAATGTTCACCAGAGCCCCAGTAATGTTCACCAGAGCCACAGTAATGTTCACCAGAGGAAGCTGGGTGTCTTCTGGGCTCTTCACCAGACTTTCCTGGCTTGGCTGGTGAACATTTATAATATTCTGTCGTACGACACCTGAACAGCATTTTTATTTTTCTGCTGGTACAGCTCCATATAGCAGTGAATGCCAGCGAGTATTTGTTGTGTTGGTGGTTATATCGGTTCATTAGCCTCTTCCTCAGCTCGTTCCAGCTGCTTCAGATCGTCATTTGTCAGGGCCCTCACAAAAGTAATAAAAAAGATGTTAATGTACTGGGGCAGCCAATGGTCAATGGGCAGACATCACCGTACCGATTAAAAAATCGCCTCTGCTCGATCACTGATCGATCACATCAGACATACGAATCGTTTTGCTGCTGAAAAATCGGTATCGTTTCTGACGATTCCCGTATCAGTATCCCTTATTTTGGCAAGAACACACCCCCATTAAAACCATATTTGAGCAAATTTCTCCATATATTGTCCTGAAAATGAACCATCTATATTCTTTGGGTCTTTCGGTAAAGTCACGTAGATAGGTACAAATTCATAATAAATATAAAATAAACAAAAATCTATGACGTTTCCATCACAACACAACGATCGCTTGTGTTGTGGTCGAAATGTCGTAGTTTCTATTTTATTTTTATTAATTAGAACCTATACATGACTTTACCGAAAGACCTAAAGAATATGAATTCCTGCAGTCACGAAAGCTTTAAGTCAAGTTTGAACCATCGTTGATTCTCGCGCATGTGGGAAACAAACCTATAAGAAAATTTTGTCGCTTAATTCATAGGCAACGTATATGCGAAACAACGCATAATGCAGCAACGTATAGCGGGGGAATGCATTATTATTTTACCCTCTTGTGGTGAATGTAGCGGCCTCCAGTGTACACACAAGGTGTGCGAAGCGACAATGGTGTCCACCCGATTAGATGAATTGTTCACCCCAACTCGGGAGGAATCGTGGACGACGCCAGTGACGGCCCACACCTCGCTCTCACGCCCCCCCCCCCCCCCCCCCGGGGCTCGGTACCTGCACACTGCTTGATCGTAACGCCCATCCGGCCTCCAAACTCCCCCCTTCCCCAACTCGTGGAGTGAGGGTGGCGAGATGGATCACAGCTCCCGTGTGGTCCGCTCCCCAAGTGGCTCTCCCCCCTGGTTGGCGCCTGTCGGCCTCTACCAATCTGGAACACGCCGAGGACCCCGCCTGAGGGGAACAGGTTTTCTGGTCGATGCACAACCGCGTCTTGTTACTGGTTCCTAGAATCTGAACTGCACCAGAGGTTCCCTCGAGCCCCATTACAGAATGAGCTGCTGCGTCTCCCTTCTTCTGCTATCCACAAGCCCGACTTGGGCCCCTCTGCTGTGTGATGTACGGGGCAATTCGCCCACTCACCGCCCACTTTAGAATCGCCACTGCCTAGAGTGAGTGAGGAGAAGGCTTGCGTTGGGGGCCCCGTGCTGAGCGTGGTCGTGCGTTTCGTGGCCTCTGTGCCTTTTCGGGCCCATGGCCCAGGGCTGCTCCGTTTTGTATTTGAGCGCAGCGGCTGCTGCTGCCGCCGGTGCTGCTGTCTCCATGCCGGGGTTTGCTCTCTCGTGAGAGCCGCCTGCTGCTGCTGCTGCATCCACAGAGTGAGCGATTGAAAGTCGGTGTGGCTCCAATAAATTCAAAAGTGGCCTAAAGCTGGTTGTGCTTCCTGGCGTGGTTTTTGTGAGCAACGCGTGCGTGCATTGTGTTGGCGACCCGAGTTTGATTCCCGTTCTCGACCAGCAAAAATGATGAATATCAGATACCGGTCCTGTGTATCCCCCAGATCGACTCTGCTTTAAATGGGTTGCATGATCCGGTGGTGTGTCTTTTAAGGAGGAATGTTAAAGCCAGCAGGGTGCGATATTTGGTTCTCGAATGAGATATTTATTCTGAACATCTACGTAGTTCCACTTGGTGTGGTCTGTATGGACGTGTGTGGTTGTGTGTGTATATGGTATATGTGGTATATGCACGGGTGTATACGGCATAGTGAGTGCATGATGTGTGTGGTTGTGCTGATAGTGAGCATTGCCATGGGGAGAAGGCCAATTTCAATTGGCTATTTCCCTCATGGCGTTTGTAGCTCGCACAGTGGCCAAAGGACCTACCGTGGAGCTGATCTTCCCACTGACCATCGGTTTGTCATCTCTAAGATGCGCCTGCCATTCTTCCACCCCGGCGCTGGGTGTCCATCTCGGACCCCATTCAAACCCACAGTGCCCTGGTCTCAGCTGATTAAAGTGAGAATTTCATCATCGCATGCAGCAGGGGTTGGCATCCTTCTGATGCCGATGGGAAATGAGCGAGGTTTAGGACTGGCTCATGCAGCTGTAATGGCTGCTTAGGGTACATGGTCCAAACCTGGCCAGAGACCCTGGCTGATGGAGGAGGTGCTCCAGCTGGCTGAGAAAAAGTGACAAGCCAACTCCCAGCGTCTACAGAATCCCACGTCAGAGAATGTGGAGGCTTACTGCAGCCTTCGCTCGGAGGTTCAGAGAGCCATCCAGCGCTGCAAGGATGAGTGGTGGTCGTGGGTTGCAGCAGCTTGCGATCACAAATCACTCTTTAATTCCATTTAAAAAGTTACTTGCAGTGCCACACCTATCACCATTCTTAAGCGAAATATAAGGTGATCCGATATCTGACCCCCACGAACAAGTTTGTAGATTTGCTGAGTATTTCTGTGAGGTCTTAGGGGAGGGGAAATCCCTCAGCCTCAAATATTGGAAGAAGTAGTAGTCGCCCTCTGTGAGTGGCTGGCTGAAGTGCCATCTGTTGAGGTTTTACGGAAGACAATCCAGAGATTGAGATTAGGGAAAGCGCTGATGCAGAGATGATCTCTCCCAAGCGAACTGCTGAGGGAGTGTTGTGTTTCTGCGCAGTCTGCCCTATACGACGTCTTAATAACAGTCTGTACCACTGGATTGGTTCTGCAGGATTGGAAGGATATCCTGGTGGTCCCCCTCTTTAAGAAGGGGGACCGCACAGACTGTAACAACTACAGGGGCATCCCCCTCCTCGGTGTGCCGGAAAAGGTCCTGGTATTCAAGATCGCCTTGCCAGGCACGCTGAGGAGATGCTTACAGAGCCCCAATGTGGTTTCAGGCCAGGGCGGTCCTGCCCAGATGCATATTTTCTGTCTGTCTGCTACAGCAGAGGTGTGGGGAATTCCAACAGGATCTATATCTGCTTTATTGACCTGATCAAGGCCTATGATATCAATAGGCAAGGGCTCTCGGTTATTCCTCCTTTTGGAGTCCCTGACTCTCTGCGCACGCTCATTAAGGATCTTCATGATGGTGGGCTGGCCCGAATAAAGAAAGCTCCATGGTCAGGAGTTTCGAACCATTCCCTGTTCACCTCGGGGTGCGACAGGGATGTCCTCTGGCACCTACATTATGTATCATCTTTTATCGACCACGTAGTTCGAGAAGCTTTCCATGGCTGTACCGGAGGAATTTCATTTGGTGCAGATACAATGGGAAGCTGATTGATGCTCGGGTGCAGTCAAGGAATGGCTCCCGATTGTTCAACCATCTTATGTATGTGTAGTGTTCGACTTTGCGCGGACAACTTCTGTCTTTCTACGAACACCGCTTTATTTACAACATTTAACATGTCCTCCACACTCCCCAGTATCCTGGTCACCACGGCTCGCTCGCCGTGCTCCGCTCGTCTCGCTCACCACCTTTGTCTCCCCACTATCACTTCACTTGCTTCGCACTCAGCGACTCCCCGTTCAGCAACTCCGCACACAGCGTCTTCCCACAGCGACTTCGCACACTCCGCACACAGCGTCTTCAGCTCCGCTATCGCTACACTCTCTCCACTGCTGGCTATTCTCCTCAGCTCCTCCGCACACAGCGTCCTTGCACACAGCGACTTCACACACTCCGCACACAGCGTCTTCAACTCTGCTATCGCTACGCTCACTCCACTGCCAACTACTTCGTCTTGTTTCAGCTTCGCTATCGCTACGCTCACTCCACTGCTAACTACTTCGTCTTGCTTTACACTCTGTTCCAACTCCGTTTCCCACTGTTTCCAAACTCTGTTTCCAAACTCTGGTTCCAAACTCTGGTTCCAAACTCTGGTTCCAAACTCTGGTTCCAAACTCTGTTTCTACTCTGTTTCTACTCTGTTTCCAAACTCCACGTCTTCCTCGTCCAGCTCCCAACTCCAACTCCCCCTCTCTGTCTGTCTCCCCCCAATTTATCCCCATTCTCATTATCGCTAATTAATTGGCCCGCGTCCTCAAACACCTGCCTTTCTCCAGACATCTCGACGCCTCCTCGCCCTTGACAACAGCCACAGCCAATCACCGCCGTTGCTGATCCTCTGGCTTAATTGGCCCAACCGTTACCTCACCATCCCAGCCTTTGCACCTGGCTGTCCTAACACGACCCACACTGTTTTCGCCTTCTCCACAGGTTGACCCAAGATAACCCACACTGTCCGTGTGATCATGCAATCGCACAGTTTCCACAACACACCTTCATACTCCACTACATATGCATACTCTTGGGTTCTTTCGGTAAAGTCACGTAGGTATAACATAAACTCGCAGTCTGTTAAAAGCTCTAACATACGTGTGAAAACCCTCCCCGTAGAGGCGGTTCGAGTTTGCGAGTTTATTTTATACCGACGTGACTTTACCGAAAGAACCAAAGAGCATGTTACGTACACTGATGATCTGGTGATTTCTGCTCACTATGAGAAGTTGGAGGCCCTGCTTCTGAACTTGGAGCATGCAACTACGAGGTGGGGGCCTTACCATCAGCACCTCCAAAACTAAGCACCTGCCTGTGTATTTTGTTTCATCAAATACTCCACCTCCTCAACTCCTCATTCGTGGGGTCGTTGTGGAGAGTGTGAAGAGGGTTTCATGCCTGGGCAGTGTTCTTGTGACCATTTCTTGTTTGACAGCAGAGGTCTCACTCTGAATCAGTCCAGTAGCATTCTCTTCTCATTGGCTGCATAACGCTGTGTGGGAGCTACCTTGTCTGTCGCTCCGCACGAAGCTTCGGGTCTTCTCGGCCACGGTCATGCTTGTGAAATGTGGACTCCCCTCATGGAACATCTTCACCAGTTAGACACATTCAGGCTGTCCTGCCTACGATCCACCCTGAGTTAACCAGGCTGGATTGTGTGAGGAGCTCACAACTCCTCGAAAGATCTGGACACAGTCCCATCGGTGAGTTCCAGCCACAGCATGCCCAAGCAGCTTCTATTGGCCGGATAGAGGGGGCTAAACGGGGGTGGCACGGGCTAGAGAAGAGATGGAGTGATGTGGTACAGGAGGATGTGGAGCTGAGTGGACTTGCCGATGACTGGTACCAGCAGTGTCAAGATCGGCCTCTGTGGAGGAGGCTCGTGAAGGACGCTACTGGGCAGTTGGAGGCAGTCGCCCTCCAACAACAACGGAGGGCGGAGGAGCGACGCTCACAACAACGAGTGGAGCGCAGGGTGGCTAAAGCACAGCAAGTTGGCACAGTAGGGGGCACAGGTGGTGCATCAGCCAGTCATCTCAGTCAGTCGACCTGTGGCATCTGGGTCTGCCCTGTGACCTGTCAGCTGGCGTTCGACACATCACGTGGCCTCAAGGTGGTGACCTCACCACCACTTAGTGGCGAATGGCGGTTGTTGTTGTATGTGTGCTGTGTGTGTGCGCTGTGTGTGTATGTACGTGTGCTGTGTGTTTACTTATGCCCCCACCGAAGACGAACATCTGTGGAGGGATGCAGGCAAGGCCAATGAGTCAGATGCCTTCTATGACCTCCTGTCACAAGTGCTGGCTAAAGTGGCCCCTCGGGATAGAGTCATCTTGTTGAGTGACTTCAATGCCCGAGTTGGTCATGATACTGGCACCTGGTCTGGAGTGATTGGAAGGCATGGGCCAGATCAGCTCAATAACTACGGTAGGAGGCTGCTAGATTTTTGTGCAGCCCATGGGCTTGTAATTACCAACGCGCTGTTCTGGCATCGGCGCATCCACACAACATCATGGATGCATGCCGGGTCCAAGCAAGACATCTGCTGGACTACATAGTGACGGACCAGCGGATGCGAGCCCATGTCCTTGACACCAGGACCTACCGTGGAGCTGATCTGCCCTCTGACCATCGACTTGTGATCTGTAAGATGCGCCTGCCATTCTCCCACTCTGGTGGTGGGTGTACACCCAGGACCCCATTCCAACCTAATGTGGCCTGGTCTCAGCTGATGAAAGTTGCAAGCGAGAATTTAATCATCGCTTGCGGCTGGGGTTGGCATCGTCCCCCACTCCTCCTGATGTCGAGGGTAAATGGGCGAGGTTTAGGACTGTGACTCATGCAGCTGCAATTGCTGCTTTGGGTACGCGGTCCAGACCTCCCCAGAGACCCTGGCTGACAGAGGAGGTGTTCAGGATGGTTGAGAAAAAGCAACAGGCCCACTCTCATCGGCTACAGCATCCCACATCAGGGAATAAGGAGGCTTACCACAGCCTTCGCTCGGAGGTTCGGAGAGCCGTGAGGCGCTGCAAGGATGGGTGGTGGTCGCGGGTTGCTGAGGAGATGGAGTCTGCCTCAGTGGCCCGCGATCACAAATCTCTATTTAACTCCATCAAAAAAGTAACCTGCAGCGCCACACCTATTACCATAATTAGGGGAAA